TATAGTCGCATCGAGGGTGTTACAGGGGGGTGGACATGTACATCAAGATTGAAAGTTGTAGGTTGAAATGGTACAGGAAGAACCAGACAAAGATCCATGCCGACCTGTATAAAGGAGTTGTTGATGCAATTACATCCGGGGAGACCCGGTCAAGCGCTGTTGGAGTAAGGATAGTGCTCCCTAGAACGTACCCAGGTGGCGACCGCGGCATGAAGCGGAGGCATATGGATGCCATGGCAATTGTCCATACGTACGGGAAGCCTGACATCTTCTTGACCATGACCTGCAACCCTAACTGGGAAGAGATAACGAATGAGTTGTTTCCTGGTCAGACAGTGCAAGATCGACCTGATCTTGTGGCTCGTGTGTTCCATGGCAAGCTAGAGGCTATGAAAGAGATCTTGTTCAAGAAGAATATCCTAGATGTTGTTGTCGCACATGTATACGTAGTTGAGTTCCAGAAGAGGGGCCTCCCCCATGCACACTTTTTGTTGATCATGGATTCTGTCTATAAGCTTGTCATTCCAGAGCAGTACGACCGACTCATTTCTGCCGAGCTCCCAGACAAACAGAAGTATCCTGAACTCCACACCTTGGTGGTGAAACATATGATGCACGGACCATGCGGTGCTCTCAACCCCAAAAATGTGTGCATGCAACAGAATGAGTGCAAGTGCAGATACCCACGGCCGTTCAATGAAAACACAGCACAGGGCAAGGACTCATACCCAGTTTATCGTCGTCGAGATGATGGTCGGCAGGCTAAGGTCCGTGGTAAAATGTTGGACAACAGATGGGTTGTGCCGTATAACCCTTACCTTCTACGGATGTTCAATTGCCACATCAACATTGAGGTTTGCTCCAGCATAAAGGCCGTCAAATACCTTTACAAGTACATATACAAGGGCCATGATAGGGCTTCTTTCAGCATCGACCAACCCGACGCCGATGGTAACATTGATGAGATCAAAAGATACGTAGACGCGAGGTGGGTTACTCCTCCAGAGGCGATGTGGAGGATATTTGGCTTCCCCTTGTGTGGAAATGACCCGCCTGTCCTACAGTTGCCTCTTCATCTCCCAAATATGCACAGGGTGGCCTTCAATGAGCAAGCTCACTTGACCGACGCAGTCGCCTCTGAGAATGCTTCCAAACCTATGTTGACAGAGTATTTCAAAGCTAACCAAAACCACCCCTGGGCTAGGAATATATTGTACAAGGATTTTCCTGGAAGGTTCACATGGTAGAAGGGTAAGAAGTATTGGAAAGAGCGGGTGGAGCGTTATCAGATAGGTCGAATTGTGTCTGCCAATCCTGCCAAGGGGGAGCGATACTATCTGCGTGTGCTGCTAAACCATGTTGCTGGCAAGACATCCTATGAGGACCTGCTCACCGTGGAAGGTAGGCTATGCGGGAGCTTTAGAGAGGCTGCCGAAAGTTTGGGACTCATCGAGGCAAATAACACGCTCGACGATTGTCTTACCGAGGCAGAGCAATGGGCGATGCCATGTTCGCTCAGGAGGCTCTTCGCAACAATTTTGGTGCACTGTGAGCCAGGCGACGTGCGTGGTTTATGGGATAGGCACCTCGAGCCTATGTCTGATGACTATCGGCGATCACACACGTGCCCTATTGAGGTGGAATAGATGGTGTTGCTTGACATTAGGGGTATGTTGCAGTCCATGGGCAAAGACATAGCTGATTTCGCTCTTCCATGCACTGACGATGCGTTCGACCCAACCGAGGGCGAGGCCAGAGAAGTGATCGAGGAATCCAACATCGATTTTGACATCAACGACAGTAAATTGGCATCGTCGCTAAACTTCGAGCAGAGGGTTGCATACGACGAGATACTAGTTGCTGTTGATGGCGTTGATGGGGGTGTGTTCTTTGTTGATGGCCCGGGAGGTATAGGGAAGACTTTCCTGTACAGGGCACTGCTCGCCAAGGTTCGAAGTGAGGGAAACATCGCTATCGCTACCGCTACGTCAGGCGTCGCGGCTTCTATCATGCCTGGAGGCAGGACTGCCCACTCGAGGTTCAAGATCCCATTGAGTTGCGATGATGGCGCCTCCTGCACCTTCACGAAGCAGAGTGGTACCGCCAAGCTACTGAGGATGGCCTCATTGATACTATGGGACGAGGCCACCATGATTAAGCGACAGGCGGTCAAGGCATTGGACAACAGCATGCGCGACATCATGGGAAGACGGGACCGACCCTTTGGAGGAAAAGCTGTTGTGTTTGGCGGGGACTTCAAACAGGTGCTTCCGGTCGTCAAGAGGGTGTCCCGAGGTCAGATAATCGATGCAACCCTCCGAAGTTCAAATCTCTGGAAGGGTATGCGCTAGCTAAGGCTCGTCACCAACATGAGGGCTCATAATGACACCTGGTTTGCAGATTACTTGCTAAGGGTAGGCAATGGCACTGAGGAAGTTGACGATCAAGGAAACATACAACTCCCTGAAGATATTTGTGTGCCATCTACAGGCGAGGGTGACGACCTAGAGAAGCTGATTGACCATGTGTTTCCGAGACTAGATGACAACATGTCCGATCCGAATTACATGATTTCACGCGCAATCCTCTCCACCACAAACGACAACGTCGACAAGATAAACATACGCATGGTAGAGCATTTTTGGGGAGAAGAAGTAATATACCATAGCTTTGACAGTGCAGAAGACGACCCATATGGCTACTACGCTCCCGAGTTCCTGAATGGGTTGACTCCCAACGGTCTGCCTCCGCATGCACTCAAACTGAAGCTCAACTGCCCTGTCATACTTCGGAGGAACATTGACCCGGCTAATGGTCTTTGTAACGGGACGAGGCTTGTGGTCCGAGATTTCAAGAGGAACGCCATCGACGCAGAAATCGTGATCGGACAACATGCATGTAGGAGGGTATTCCTTCCTCGAATAGCCCTATGCCCGTCTGACAATGACATGTTTCCATTCAAGTTCAAGAGGAAGCAATTTCCTGTAAGGTTTAGCTTTGCTATGACGATTAACAAGGCTCAAGGACAGACGATTCCGATTGTTGGCGTGTACCTACCTAATCCGGTGTTCTCTCATGGTCAACTCTATGACCTAGCAAAGAGGAACATAAAGATCCTCATTGAGAAGGAGAAAGAGAAGGATAATGGCAAGAAGCAAAGTGGTAAATCAAAGAAGCGAAAAAGACCTTCCTTGTCCTTACAAACCTCGATGAAGAACATTGTCTATAAGGAAGTCCTTACAGGATGAAGTCCGTACTTACAAAACCGGCGGGTTTTGAATATGACAATAGCATTTACTCTTATTCTACAGATAATTTGTTGCTCTGGAGCGCTTTTGTACAAATGTTTATCTTTGTTTCTTATTTGACTGCAATCTTTATTTAAACGGGCCACTATCAGATTAAGAATGCCCAGCTTCAGTGGCGTTGCTACGGGCCAGTGCACTTCATCTTCAATTTTATCACGTTTTGCTCAGACTCTGAGGATTTAGAGTATGCATCTATACAGTTTTGGCATCCAGTACACCTATGATTTGAACATCTCGAGATGTAGGTATAGCCAATATGACCTGTTAGATAATAACATGATACGACCGCCCCCTGTTTTAAGTCTATATTTTTCAGTTCGGTTAGTATACACTAGACATATTTAATTATTGTGGCATTTTTGTCTATCAATAATGTGTGTGCATGTTTTCCTTAAGGAAACAACATATAGTTGTCTTCATCACCGGGAACACACTTTAGGTGCAGATCATGATATTTCAGTTGGGCAGTTTTGACATGGTACATTTTTTCAGTCAATATTTGTTTATCTTAAGCAGCAGTACTTCTCTCTTCAAATGACACTACGACACCATATAGAAGTTGCATACATTTCAGCCGTTACTAATGTGACTACCATTGAAAATGTCGTGTCAGACTTGAATCACATCCTAATAGTTGTTATAAAAAACGTACTATTGCTTGCCCACACATTGAAGTACTACATTTTTTATTACCCTGTATTTCTAAAAACTTTGCTACCATGCTGGTTTATTGCTAAACTCGTAAAGGTTTTCAAAATTAAAACTGTGGTTCCTAAACCCTGTTATGCTTTTGTTTGCAGCACAATATGGAGATGCACAGTTACCACTTACCAGTAAAAGTAGTTCATGTTTTAATTTTGAGTGAACTGTTTGTTTTGGCCACGAGATACTTTTAAGTTTAAGGCATTAATTAGTTTTTCTTGAATAACTTGTGGGTGCATGCAGAAAACACATACTTCAGCATTTAATTGAAAAGGCTACTATTCTTAAATAGTAGTCTCTGTTGTTTCTCTTAAATAGAGAGCTCATAGAATGAATAAACAGAAGTGTAGATGTGATGAATAGAGTAGATAGAAGTACTGATCTTACAATTCTGTCACGTGAAGTGCATCATCGATTACGTGGCAGAAAACTCCTGTCCAATTGAAGTGCATGGATTTTCTCAAGGTCATCACGTCTGAATGCAAACAAAAATAAGAAGGAATGTCAGGATGTAGTTTGTTAATTGTAAACATAAATAATATGGTAGCAGCCGCTTCTTGTTTTGAAAATTGCAGTGCTCGGTTGACTGTATCAGATTAAGAATGCCCTTTCGACTAATCCAAAATTCGTGGCTGTAATTTCAAATTGCAGTGCTCGGTGACTATAGCCAAGAAGTAGAATTTCATATCGCCTAGCTAGCCTGATGCATAATGAGTCATTTGACATGCAGATGATGAAGGCAAACAAGTATTCGTCTGTCAGTAAGTAATAATTCTGTTAAGAACAGAACTAAAGGCAAGAAGAGTGCAGGTCAGAAAAAATTCAGATAACTGCAGGATAACGAAGCATGCATCTCTACTACGCCATATGTGCATAAAGTTCGGCAACCATTAAATCCCTAGCCGGAAACTAATGTGTGTCCCTAAACTTACATGTGGTAGTTTACTTCGGCATCGACTGAAACTGGCCTTGATTTCAGGTAACTGAAACTTAGGATGCGCATTGAAACTTAGTATTCCCAATAGACTGCTCAGCTTCTATAGATGAAGGTTCTCCATCATTAGCCTTGTTCTCATCATCATATTTGGCTGATTTTTGCCTTTGATCTTGAACTACAGAAACCTGTAGTGTGGATATACTCAGTACATACTGACTGACAAGGTATCAGGAAAATAAAGGAGTAGAATACCAGAGTTTCAGAGGTAAATATTGACAGTAGCAGATTATATTATATGCTTATGAACAAATAACACTTGTAGGAATAACTAATACTAATTTAGTACTGTGGAAAACACCACGGCTCAAAAAAAAAACAATTACCTAACTCGCAAACAAATAAAACATTCTACTATATATGAAGATCGATCCGACCATAAGGTCTCTGATTATGTTGGATATCCCTGTACTACCTCGATGATATATACTCCCTGTTTATAAGTATTAAAAAAATACAGTAGTCAAATGTTTTATACTCCCATTCTGTCCCTCCCCTAAAAACTGAATCACAGGGATGTCATTGTTCTGCTCCAACAGAACAATTATTCCAATAGAACAATTATTCCAACGGACAAAACTAATCTAACAAAACTTGTAATCAGGATGTCACATTACATATGAATCAACTTACCATCATTTGTTCAGATGATGCAAAATATTTGTGAGTATAGGCCATGTTACAAGCAGAAGAAAGTAAACATGAAGAGCCTCACCAGCATGATTGCGTGCAAGTGCCGGCGGCAGAGACGTGTAAGACAATAGGCTTTTGGGGGAACCGGCACGACCCTCTAGGGGTGGCCTATCACATATATATATAATGAGGTGGTATACAATGTTACAATATACACATGTAAATACAGTCTAACACCCTCCCTCAATCTTAGCCACTTTCTAATGAATCTAGAAGGGTAAGATTGCGCCTGCAAGTCTCAAACTGTGGCAAAGGCAATGGCTTGGTGAAGATGTCAGCAAGTTGATCCTTGGAAGAAATAAACTTGATCTGTAGTTGCTTCTGAGAGACACGTTCACGCACAAAGTGATAGTCAACTTCAATGTGTTTCGTTCGGGCATGGAATACCGGATTTGCAGAAAGGTATGTAGCACCGATGTTATCACACCAAAGAACAGGAGGCTGTGATTGGGGTATACTTAACTCCTGAAGCAAGGACTGTACCCAGATGATCTCTGATGTGGCATTGGCCACAACCTTATACTCAGCCTCAGTACTGCTACGCGAGACAGTAGCCTGTTTCCGAGCACTCCAGGCAATCAGGTTAGAGCCAAAGAAGACAGCATAACCCCCCGTGGATCGCCTGTCATCCGGATTGCCAGCCCAGTCTGCATCAGAATATGCTGAAAGACAACCAGAGTCGGACGGCCGAATATGCAAACCATGAGCCACCGTGAAACGAATATAGCGCAAAATCCGCTTAACAGCAGACCAATGAGTGTCACGGGGTGACTGCAGATACTGGCAGACTCGGTTAACAGCATAGGAAATGTCTGGTCGCGTGATCGTCAAGTACTGGAGCCCACCAACAATACTCCTGTACTCTGTCGCATCAGAAGAAGAAAGAAGCACACCATCAACAGCATTGAGCTTATCAGTGGTAGACATGGGTGTAGTCGTCAGTTTGCACTTAAGCATCCCAGCTCGCTGGAACAAATCCAGAGAGTACTTCTTCTGCGTCATAACAAGGCCAGCAGCACGAGAAGTAACCTCCACACCAAGAAAGTAATGAAGCTTCCCAAGGTCCTTGACTGCAAAATCAGCACCAAGTGAGCGAACAAGCGCAGTAGCAACCGACTGAGAGGAGCTGACCAAAATGATATCATCTACATAGACCAACAAGTACATAGTAACCTCAGGCCTTTGAAGAAGAAACAATGAGGAGTCAGCAGTTGATGATGCAAAACCATGAGCACGAAGAGCCATTGCAAGACGAGCATGCCAAGCACGAGGAGCCTGCTTCAGACCATAAATTGCCTTGGACAGACGACAGAGATGATCAGGGCGACCCGGATCAGAGAAACCCGGAGGCTGGCGCATGTAAACCTCCTCCGCCAAGACACCATGAAGAAAAGCATTTTGAACATCAAGCTGACGAAGAAACCAACCTCGAGTAACAGCCAGAGAGAGAAGAAGTCTGATGGTAGTAGGCTTGACCACTGGACTGAAGGTGTCTTCATAGTCAAGTCCAAAACGCTGTCGAAAACCACGAGCAACCAGACGAGCCTTATAGCGCTCAATGGACCCATCAGAATGCCTCTTCACTTTGAAAACCCATTTGGAATCAATGACATTTACCCGTGATTGTGGAGGAACAAGAGTCCATGTCTGATTGCGAAGAAGCGCTTGATACTCCTGCTCCATGGCCTCTCTCCAATGAGGAATGCGCATAGCAGCTTGATACGTGCGTGGCTCAGAGGATGGATCTGCGAGAGCAGCAGACATACACGCCGCTAACCAAGCAACTGTGCCATCGTGACGTTGCTTAGTGACAGACGACTCCGGGCTGCATGGCGAAGACTGGCCCGACGACAGGGGCTCAGAGGCCATGGGCGAACCGAGAGTGGGCGAGGCCAGCTCTGGTGACACCGGCCCAGACGGCCTTGGCGAGGCGAGAGCAGGCGAGGCCGGCCCTGGTGAGAAGGGCCCAGACACCCTGGGCGAGGCAGGGGCGGGCGAGGCCAGGCCTGGTGATGACTGCCCCGACGCCCTGGGCGAGACGGGGACCGAGGAGGCCGGCCCAGTCGGCGGGGTTACAGGGCGCAACGATGGCGAAGGCAGCCCAGAAGCCAGAGGCGACCGGGCCAGGACGTCGATCGGCCGTGCATGAGCACGGAAACCGAGGCCATGCAGGGGCGCCATGTGCTCCTCATGCACAACAGAAGGTGCCGAGGATGAAGGCGATGGCGACGAAGAGGAAGATGGCACTTCCAGAATCTCCAAACGAGCCCCACGACCAGTGCCTGCACCATGGTTAGGCAACAATAGAGGAGAATATGCAACATCATCAAATTGGTCAGAAGCAACAGAGGATGAATGCATGACAGGTGGCTCGGTAGTGGACACAGGGAGTTTGGCAAAGGGAAAAACATGCTCATCAAACACAACATCCCGAGAGATGTAGACACGATTAGTGGGCACATGAAGACATTTGTATCCTTTATGAAGAGAGCTATAACCAAGAAAAACACACTTCTTGGAACAAAACTCGAGCTTACGCTTGTTATATGGACGGAGATGGGGCCAGCAAGCACACCCAAACACCTTGAGAAAGGTGTAGTCCGGTTGTTCATTAAGGAGAACTTCAATGGGAGTCTTCATATTCAAAACACGAGTGGGAGTACGATTGATGAGAAAACATGCAGTGGTGAAAGCATCACTCCAAAAACGAAACGGAACAGATGCATGGGCCAAAAGAGTCAGACCAGCTTCAACAATGTGACGATGCTTACGTTCTACTGAACCATTCTGCTGATGTGTATGTGGACATGCTAAACGGTGAGTGATCCCAAGCGACTGAAAGAAGGAGTTGAGGTTGCGATACTCGCCACCCCAGTCCGACTGAACATGAACAATTTTGTGCTTGAGAAGGCGTTCAACATGTTTTTGGAACTGAACAAAAATGTCAAACACATCAGATTTACGTTTGATAAGATAAAGCCAGGTAAAGCGGCTGTAAGCATCAACAAAACTGATATAGTAATTATGACCACTAACAGAAGTCTGAGCAGGACCCCATACATCTGAAAACACAAGTTCTAAAGGATGTTTCACCTCACGACTAGACTCCGAAAAAGGAAGTTGATGACTCTTCCCCTGTTGACAAGCATCACACACTGCTACATCTTTATTACTAGACACACTAGGAAGCTCATGACGACGCAAAACATGCCGGACAATAGGTGTGGCCGGGTGACCAAGACGAGCATGCCACTGTGACGGAGATACCCGAACTCCACTGAAGACGCGAGCGACGCCAGGATGCTCCAGACGATAGAGACCTTGGCAGAGCCGCCCACTAAGAAGAATGTCCCTCGTGCCCCGATCCTTAATAAAAAGATCAAAAGGATGAAATTCACAAAGCACATTATTATCACGAGTGAGTTTAGGAACTGAAAGAAGATTACGTGTCACAGATGGAACTCGAAGAACATTGCGAAGTTGAAGACTCCTATTGGCATGTCTAGTGAGAAGTGATGCTTGACCAATATGAGAGATGTGCATACCTGCTCCATTGGCGGTGTGGATCTTGTCGGAGCCATGGTAGGGTTCACGAGTGTGAAGCTTCCCCATCTCACTAGTCAGGTGCTCTGTCGCCCCAGAGTCCATGTACCAGTGGGGATCAATGGAGTAGGACTGAGTGTGTCCCTGTGGCTTCTGCGGCGGCGGACGATCAGCCATGGCGACCTGACGAGCAAAGTTGCGTGTATCCTTCCCGTCATTGCCGAGACCAAGAAAACCCCGCTGGAAGCGCTTGTGACACTTCGAGGCCCAGTGCCCATCGCGACCACAAAGCTGGCACACACGTGGACCGCCAGCCCCTGGTAGCGTCGCAGTAGGAGGAGGGGCCGAGGCGGGTGGTGGTGACTGCCCCGAAGGAGCCCTGGATGAAGCAGAGGAGCGACCACCCTTGGTGGCGGCGTTTGCCGAGAGGGCGCCGTTGCCCCTGGATCGGCGCGTCTCGACTCGTTGCTCAATAAGCAGGAGGCGTGAAAAGACCTCGTGTGCTGGCATGGGCGTGGAGTTGCCCCTCTCATTGATGATCTCGACTAGGGCGTCATACTCCTCATCAAGACCATTGACAATAAACGAGTTGAACTCGGAGTCGGTGAGGGGCTGTCCAATGGAGGCTAGCGTGTCGGCGAGACTCTTGACTTTGTTGTAGAACTCAGTGGCGGTGGAGTCAAGCTTCTGACACTCCCCAAGTTGGCGACAGAGCCCAGATACACGAGCCTGCGACTGTGCCGCAAACGAGCGCTCAAGAATAGTCCATGCCTCGTGGGACGTCTTGGCGAAGACAACAAGCCCAGCAACGGCCGGAGAGAGCGACCCCTGGATGGAGGAGAGGTTCGCCTGATCCTGCCCTGTCCAGACACGGTGAGCCGGATTATAGACCGGACCGTGCACGCTGTCAACCAGCACAGGAGGGCAAGGGAGAGAGCCATCGACATAGCCAAGCAGATAGTGACTCCCAAGAAGCGGAAGAACCTGCGCGCGCCAGAAGATGTAATTGTCCGACGACAACTTGATGGTGATGAGATGGCCGAAGTGAAACGGCGGCGGCGGCTGCGATCCCATCGAGGAGACTGGCTGAGGTGAGACCACCGTGGAGACAGTCAGAGGGGCAGCCGGCGCGGTGACAGAGGGCGCGATGACCGCGGTTGACGCCGCGAAGCCTGCCAGCGCGACGTCCTCCGCCACCAGCGGCGCAGTGGCCGAGGGCGCGACAGCCGCGGTTGACGGGGCGGCGGCGGTGTGGGCCACAAGCGCCTGCCCGGGCGAAGTAGCAGCCGGCGGGAGCGCGAAGAGGGAGCCGACGCTCCGTGTCCCGATCAGCGCCTGAAGGGAGGCGGCATCCAGCGGCCTCGAGAGAAGTGCCGCGAGGGAGGCCGGCAGAAAACCGGTGGTGGTGGAGCCGGACGCAGCGGCGGACGTCATAGCAGTCGGGCGACGGCGACGGCGGTGGCGGCGGCGGCGGCGGTGGCGGCGGCGGCGGCGGTTTAGGGTTTTTAGGCGGAAGCGGACGTAACCTAGCGTGATACCATGTAAGACAATAGGCTTTTGGGGGAACCGGCACGACCCTCTAGGGGTGGCCTATCACATATATATATATATAATGAGGTGGTATACAATGTTACAATATACACATGTAAATACAGTCTAACAAGGCGATTGCAGGGGGAAGCTGGAGCTAGCAATGCCACACTGACGCCTTGTGGGCGATGTTGGACATGGAGCAGCAGAAGGCCGGCGCGGCGGCTCACAGGATCCAAAACCGTCTTCCACGCCCATGGCTGTTGTCTCCGCGTCCGCCACGGCAGGCGTCTCCTCATGGCCAGCGCTGCTGCATCATTGGCCGGCTCTGCTTGCTGCTCGTGGACGTTGTGTGCTCCCCAGATGCCGCCGGAATGGAACCACCGCTACGGCGACACCAGGATTGCAGGAGCCACCTCCCGGACCGAACCACCGCCGCGTACCAATGGTTGGAGAAGCACGTCGCGGATGAGAGCGTATCAGATGAGGGCTTCCTTGGTTCAGGGAAGACGGCGACAACAGGGATGAGGTCGAGGCAGAGCTCGAACTGGAAGGCAGTGGGCGTCGTAAATCCGAGCTCGGGGTGGGGAAGGTGGTGGCGGAGGGTGGGATGGGGCAGGGCCGGCGGCGTGCAAGCGCCAGAGCGTGGGCGGTACTTGGGTGCCGACGACCTCCAGCCATCCAGCGGTGGCGAGCGGTGGACCACGACGCCCAGGCTGCATAGCAAGCAATCGAGAGGGGGGGAGGTGGCGAGCGGCGGACCTCTAGCGGCAGCGAGCGGCGGACCACTACACCGGCGGGGCACCCTAATTCTTTTGAACGGACCGGGGAAGACAGGAGAGGCGCGAGTGGGAGGAGATGGGAGCGATCCCGTCGATCCACGGCTCCCCAGCAAGCGCGGCTCGAGGATGGCGTAGCTCTCGGCGAGGCGGAGTTCCTGGTCTCCTCGGGGAGGAGGTGGTCCAGCTGTGGGCCGCGGTGGGCGAGGTGGGTCGGCGGTTGTTGAGCTGCGCAAGTGGGCGGCGGTGGTTGCCTCCTTCGCAGCAGCGCAGGAGGGCGGCGGCAGCGGCGCCGGCTGCGTAGTTGGGAGACGCACGTGGTGGGTGGCGCGGTGGGGAGAGGAGGGGGAGAGACTGAGAGGGACATCGGTCAACGCCATCGCAGGGGAGAGGGGGATAGAGTGAGTGGCTGGGAGGGGGAGAGAGTGGGTGGGGAGAGGTTTTTTTTTCTGAGCATCGGGTGGGGAGAGGTGGCCCGTTTAACTCAGGCCGGACCGTGCCGTTGCGGGCAGGCCCATTTGGCCAGGTCTGGCTGTGAGGAGGAGAGGAGTCAGGGGAGGTCCGCATAAGGATTTCTAAAAAAGGTCCGAATAAGATTGTAGGGTGAAAAAAATGCAATTGAAAATATATGTGTTAGTCTCACTTTTGTTTTTATTATATATTATAGATGTTTATATAATACAGTATAAAATATCATTATATTTTATATGTTTCACCTTTGTCCATCAGAGATAAACAGTGATGGACTCGAATGATGTTTCAAATATATCAACTGGCATATGCACTGATGTAACAATGACGCCCGGACCGAAACACCACGAGAAGAGGTGCTACACATGTTAACGCAAAAGGTGCATTATTTTATATTATTGTTTTTCAGAATATATGAGACATAGATATGGATTTTGGAGATGCACAAAAAGAATCTATTGACAATGGTTCCGAAGCGACGTCGCTGAAAGGGACCACCGGGTTTTTTACAATATAATGATATGAAAGTGGTGATATCTCATAAAAACAAAAAAGATGTCAAATTAAACTTCAATTATTATGCAATTATGACCGTGTTATATTGTCTCTACCTGTGAAATTTTGCATGCATTATCTTTATATAACTTCATCAAACCATTTTATATAACTTCATTAAACTATTTCAGAAGCCCGTGGCAATGCACGGGCATTCTACTAGTATTAGGTAGAGATACAGTGGCGATCCGTCACACACTCTAAAGCATATGAGAAAACGATCCGTCACACACTCTAAAGCATCTGAGAAAACCCTTCTGTATGGTAGGCTTCCCCTCATCCTCGTGCGTCTCCCCTCTTCCGATGCACCAAGCATCATCCACCTGGCCTTGTGCAATCTGCTTGCCGGCACATGCGATGAACTCCCGCCGCTAAAGATCAGGTGGAAGTTTGACAACGGTGGCTACGCCATCATTACCGATGCAGACCATTCCTCAAACGGTAAGCAACGGTCCTTGTAGCCACGGGGCTACTCGACTTTGTTCAAAGTTCTAGTCATGTACTGCAACGATAGAGAGTATTACTTTCCGTGCGTCCTCCACACGTTCTTGTACAACGAGGGGAGGTGGATCGAGCCTACAAATTTAGGTCGTGAGGCTAAGAATTTCTCCAATTGCGGGCCGCTCAAGCATTCCGACGCAGTCGTGTGCCAAGGGACCACACACTGGCTTGTTGGGTACCATTTAAGCCGTCACAATTACTTGCATACTATTGATGTAGATGTTGAGAATTCCAATGTCTCCATGACGAAGATTGTGACCCCGACTGAAGACAAAATGTCTGGAACGTATTATGAACCGCAACTTAGTGTTGCTACCGATGAGACACTATCATTGCTTTGCCTGCAAAGGCCGGGCCTACAGGTAAAAATATGTATGCAGCAAGGCAACAGAGGGAGTGAGAATGGTGGTACATGGCTATACACCCGAAACGTCGAGCTAAAACCACCCAAGCAGATTCGAGCAGAAGAGATGCACTTGACCCTCTTGGGAGAGAAGAGTGGCACATTGTTCGTCAAGGACAACTGCATGAACGTGTACGCTGTCGATCTCAAGACAGGGGTGATGAAGAGTCTCACGTACCACGGCAAGGTTACCCACGGGAAGGTCGTGCCCTTTGAGATATACTGGCCGATGTTCTAATCCTTTTTATTCTTGGTACTCGCTAGAAGCACATGGACTTGACTTGAGGGAACCGTCCTCTCATAATTGTTTTTCATTTAATTTTATAATCAGTTGGGTAAATTGTTATGTTTTGGTGTGGATGGATACTGGCTTGTGAGCTTAATAGTACCTCGCAAAAAAATACTCGATAGTAGTATGAAATATTTCACACTTTAGTACTTTGCAGGAAGTTAGATTGTATAAATGGATTATTTCGATGGTAATATGTAGATTGTCACTAGTAGAAAAAAGGCCTATTGTCCCAGTTCGTAAGGGCCTTTTGTCCCGGTTCCTGAACCGGGACTAAAGGTCGGTACTAATGCCCTGTCCCTTTAGTCCCGGTTCAATCCAGAACCGGGACAGATGGGCCTCCACGTGGCCTGTGCACGGAGCCCAGGCAGGAGGGCCTTTGGTCCCGGTTGGTGGCACCAACCGGGACCAATAGCCATCCACGCGTCA